TGTCAGAGGCGGTGCGGTTGGCGCAGGATAGAGCAGGGTTTAGAGCTGTTGTGCATAGGGTCGCTATGAGTCGGAAATGACTCGATGGCACATAACAACAATATATGCTTAACATATTTTTCAACATGGCATGGCAACCTATCCCCAAAACTTTGTTTTCCCCATGTTTTCCACCTGACAAACACCTAAGCATACTTCAAAAGCTGACATCTGACTGGGCTGACCTCAGAACACACTCCATCTCTGATTGCCCCAACACCACATGTCTTTGAAATACTAGTTTCTTGACTGCAAACTTTCCTTCCTCCAAGGTCAACTGTGAAGCTGTGCCTGCATGTATTTCATAAGGGTCTTTCATAAAATCCAACCTAGTACAAAATTCAAGCTTTCCCAAGAGGTAATTTTGCCAAGGACACTGAGTGTGTGAAATGTAAGGATTTATTCATGGTCACAAGTTATTGGCTAAGCCAGAAGAAAAGCATTCCGATGCTCCATGTCCATTTGGGTTTTTCTAAGCAAGTTTTGGTGTTTCAAAGGCCAGAGTACAGAAGCTGTGCCATAACCATGATGACAGCAAAGCAGTGGGAGATGGGGAGGTATATTGTTATTCAGGGGAACCAGAAAGAATGAACTACCACCCATGGGCAGATGCTAATCCTTCTGACCACTCAGGGCGAGTGGGGTCAGCTGCGCCACATGGGAGAAGAACTCTGCAATGTTCCATAAGAATGATTTCCCTTAGCCACAGACTGGGGAAAAATATTTGGTAAAGACATGTCAGATAAGGGACTTATATCTAGAATTTATAAAATACTCAAGCACCACAGCAAGATAAACAATCCAATTGAAAAATGGGCACAGGATATGAACAGACACGTCACCAAATAAGACATTCAGATGGCAAACAAACACATAAAGAAATGTTCAAAATCCCTAACTCTAAGAGAGATGCAAATCAAAACAACTATGAGATATCATCTCACCCTAGAACAATAGCAAAATTTAACAGAACAGCAAACAACAAATGCTGGCAAGGTTGGGGAGAAACTGGAACTCTTATTCACTGCCGGTAGGAGAGTAAAATGGTGCAACCACTATGGATGGCAGCTTTCTCAAAAAGTTGCAAATAGAAATACCATTTGACCCAGCAATTCCACTACTGGGAATATACCCTAAATAGACCATAAGTGCAACCCAAGCAGATATATGCACACCCATGTTTATGACAGCTTTGTTCACATTAGCAAAGAGTTGGAAACAACCTAAGTGCCCATTAACAAACAAATGGATAGAGAAGCTGTGGAATATTACGCTACATTGAAAAACAAGGAACTCATGAAATACTACACAAAATGAGGAATCCTGGAGGACATTATGCGGAGTGAATATCTCAGTCACAAAACGACAAATACTACATAAGGCCACTGTTGTAAAACAGGACTGACATTGGGGTTTGGGTGAGATGAGTAAGATGAGGGAGAGAACTGTTAAAAAGGAACATATGATTAAGTATTATTGTCATGACAGGAGTCCAGAAGGAAGGCTGTATAGTAGAGTGGACTTGGGAGGAGGGGTTGTATAACAATGAAAGAATGTTTCTTTTACTTTTCAAAGAGAAGAGCAACTGGGGAAGAGGGGTGAGCAGAGAAAAAAGTGCAACAATGAATGAATGGAAATCCAAAGTCTGTAAATTTTCATTAAAATTAATATTAATAAAAAGAATGGTTTCCCTTAAAACAGTTACTGATCTGATGCTGCCAGTAGCTCCGCTGTAGAGATTTCTTAAAAGACATGAGTTCATGACACAAGAAACCCACATCACATATTTTCTACATGCTTTTTAATCTTTTTTTTCAGATTTGCCTTAAACTGTGATATTTATCGACAATTGCCTTGAACTAATGTTTCAGTTTTTCTAAAAGTGTGTTAGCCTGATGTACTTACTGTTCAATCAAATTTAATCAGTGGGGTCCTTCATGATGGAAGAGCAGAGTTCATTTTTTATTGAGGATGGTGTAAGACTTCTGGTGCTCTCAACCAGAAGAACAAGACTGCAGAATAGGGTAAGCATGCACCACCACGGATCAGAAAGGGCAAGAGCACACTGCGGGCTCAGGACCACTTACTCCATGTTGAAGATCAGATTTCTGATGCAGCCATGGAAGGACTGTTTCACTTTGAGCACAGATGCCACTTCGCTCTCTGGAATACCCCCTACGTACAGGTTGGTTACATTTATTGTCCTGCTTTCTGATAATGGGGTCAACCTCATTTCTATAGGACTGGTCTCATCCAGTTGAACAGTGATGATTCTGAAAGGGCAAAGGGAAAAATAAAAGAAAAAACAAAAAAATTAAAGAAAATAGCCATTCATTTTAATATATATTTACAGCAAGTTATTACTAAATAATAAAAACTTCCTGAAATAAATTTTAATAAGACTAAACATAAATAAAAAGAAAACCCTAAAAATTAAAATTTACTCAATGTTCTCAAAAAATGAACAGGATATTAACAGTTACTATTGAGTTTTATTTGTGTTTTTATTTTAGGAAGAGGGGTCATTCTGAAATGAAATTAACTTGATAACAACTGATAACAATAATATCAACTTTAACCTCATTTATTTGCCCAAACAACAAAGTGTCTAGCACACTTACAAGACATTTGGTTTTAGAATTAGCTTTAAAGAAAATACACGAGAACCTTGCTATAATGCTTGATTGTCACAGAATTATGCACTGTAAAGACTTTATTGGACCTCAGAAAAGGTCTTGGTTAAGGTAAAGAATACCAGAAAGATGTTTCCCTGTGTTTTACTGACTATTTAAGCTAACATTCTTATCAGATCTACAAGTGTATCATCACAGTCTTTCCCATGGTGTGTACTTAGGGATTTTTTTTCCTTTCTTTCTTTCCACCAGATTGTCTTCAAGAGAAAGATAAGCAATTTCCTCCTGTGAGATTTACAGCCTCTGAAGATCCAGTGGAGGGGCAGCTATGAGTCAGTGCTAACTCGATGGCACATCACAATAGCATCATTAACAAGAAAAATAATTAAATTATACCCATATGTGTAGGAATTTTAAAATTTAAGAATTACTATATGCCAAGAAATGACAATGTTTAAAGAAAATCCTTAATATGAAATGGCAATGAAAATGCTGATGTAAAACCTTAGGAATCCAGTGTTTACAAGTAAAATTATATTTTGATATAACTGTATTAGAAAAGGCACTGAAAATTAGTGAGTTAAAGGAAATGAGAAACATCTGTGGGGACCTGCAAAAATGGGGTAATAGTGGTCATAATTTAATGGTGATTAGGTTTATGAAACAAAGAATGGGGATGGTTGTATAAAAAATGTAAACTAAGTATAAAACAGAATGTATGAGAATTTTGTATGCAAACCAATATAAAAGAAAAAGAATATCAAAACCCCAAACAAACCTGCTGGAGGGGCAGCTGTGAGTTGGTAAAAACAACAACAACAAAAAAAACCCAAAAACAACAACAACAAAAAAAACCCAAAGTAAAAATAAAAAGTAGAAAAGACATAACAAAAAAGAAACTAATGAAATAGAATGTGGTTGAATAAATATCTTGATACAGTGGAAACAATTCCCTTATATATTTATATGTTGTTGTTATGTGCCATCAAGTTAACTACTTTTCATAGCGACTCTATGCATAATAGCTCTGAGCCCCGCTCTAACCTAAGCCAATTGCACTGTCTCTGACACACCTATTCTTATTACGCATTATTGTGTCAATCCATCGTCTTTACTTTTCCCTTGACCCTTCAAAGCATATTCTTCTCCAAAGACTATTCCTTCCTGGCTATCATGATGTTTTCAATTGGCCCGGTGGTGATAATCTTTGTTTTCTGATGCTGAGTTTCAAATCATGTTGCAGAATACAGCCCTTGACCCTCTGCAGCAAATACTTAAGGCCCTGCTCAATTTTAGCAAGCAAAGTTGTGAGTTGTGTCATCTGTATAAAGCAGGTTCTTGATCAGTCTTTCTCCAATCCTGATGCCACATTCCTCTTCATGAGTCCAGCCTCTGGAATCATCTGTTCTGCAAACAGATTGAAGAGGTGTGGAGACAGGACACATTTCTGATGCACTCCTTTCCTGATTTTGAACCATGCAGTATTTCCTTGCTCTGCTCTGACAAATGCCTCCTGGTCCAAGTATAGGTTTCTTATGAGCACAATCAAGTGTTCTGGTATTCCCATTCTCCTCAATGTTAGCTACAATTTGTTGTGATCCATGCAGCCAAATGCCTTTGCATAGTCAATGAAACAGACATTCTTCTAATTCTCTGTGCTGTAGGCCAAGATTCATCTCACATTGGCAATGATGTCCCTAGTGCTACTGTTAAACCCAACTTTTATTTCTCATAGTTCTTTGTTGATGTACTGTTTCAGTCACTTTTGGAAAATCTTCAATAGGATTTTGCTTGTGTATGATAGTAGTCATATTACTCAATAATTTCCACACTCTGTTGGATCACCTTTTTTTGGAACAGAAATAAATACAGATCTCTTTCAGTCAGTTGGCCAGCTAGTTGTCATTCGGATTTTTTAGCACAGCCTGTTGAGTATGTCCAGGGCTGCATCTGTTTGTTGAAATATGTCAACTGATATTCCACCAATTTCTGGAGCCTTGTTTTTCCCCAATTCCTTCAGAGTAGCTTGAACTTCGTTCTTCCTCACCACTGCCTGTTGAACATAAGTTATTTCATGAAATTGTTCTGTGTCAGCCAGTTATTTTTGGTACAGTGACTCTATGTATTCCTTCTATCTTCTTTTGATGCTTCCTGAGTCATTCCGTATTCTGCTCATAGCATCCTTACGTTTTCCAACTTGAGAATTGAATTTGCTCTCCAGTTTCTTCCGCTTAAGAAATGCTAAGCGAATTCAACTCCTTTGATTTTTTTGAACTCTAGCTCTTTACATATTTCATTTTAATACTTTGTTTTGTCTTCCTGTGCTGCCCTTTGAAATCTTCTGCTTAGCTTCTTAACTTCTTGATTTCTTTGCTTTGGCTTTTTGATGCTTTATGTATATAATTATATATATGCATCCAATAAAGAGAGCATAGATTCATATAAAGGGATCTCTGGTGGCTTGGTGGTGAGGAGTGGCACTGCCATCCCTAAGGCACTCAGTTCAAATCCACCAGCTGTTCTGTGGGAGAAGGATGAGCAATCACTTCTCATGAGATTTAGTGCTTCTGAAAACCCATTGTAGGGTCAGCAATGAGTCAATTCTGACTTGATAGCACACAATAACAACAATGATATTGACTGTGCAAAGTTATCCAACTGTGTAGACTATAACAAATTATGGATACCATTGAAAAAAGTAGAATACAAAATACTTAATTATGCTAATCTGGAACTTGTCCATAGACTTAGGGCAGATGCTCTAACAGGCTGGGTGACACCATGTTTTTAAAGCCAGGGATGTCCCCATGCAGCTCCACACAGAAAGTACCTCTTGCTCCTGACCAGGGAGATGGAGTGCTCCTGTCCGTCCCCATAGGTGCCTGTCGGAGAACGCAGCAGAGTTCTTCGCAGGCTCATTCCATCCCCAAAACTAACGTGCACCTCGACGTGGCCTTCAATCAGCAGGATGGCAAAGAAGGGCTGTTTTATAATAAAGAATTTGCCATAGAAAATCCATTATTGTAAGATTTAGAAAGTTATCATTATCTAAAGGTAACACTAGTGTATCAGATGCCATAATGGTTACCCACAGGGACAATGTTTGGTAGAGCTCCCAGATTAAGATAGGCTTGGAAGCAGGAGTGGCATCCACCTCCTAAACAATATGTTTCTGGAAACTCTACAAACTTAGAGAAATGACAATAGTTATAGAACAAGGTTCAGGTCTTTTGTTCACAGGGTCACTATGAGTCATGTTTGACTCAATGGCACATAACAACAACAACAACAACAACAACAACAACAACAACAATGTGGGTATATTCACACTAGGAAAGTGATGTCTTTAAAATATCCTAATCTAGCACACTATTTTAAGTGTTGTATTTTAATTTCTGTTTATATAATTTATTTGCATTTTACCCTAAATACATTAAAGATTTCTATTTCTTCAGAGGCTTCATATACATTATTTATTGGTATAGTATGTTTTAACATATTTATCATGTTTAACATATATTTTTTTAATTCTCAAAAATATGGTTTGTTTATGTATCTATTAGTATTGTTGTTGTTGTTGTTATTGTTCTTCCAGGAGAAATAATGAGCTATCATATCCTCCCATGCAATTTACTGCCTCTGAAAACTCACTGGAGGATCAGCCTATGTGTTGGTTTTAACTTGACAGCACATGACAGCAACCATTGTATATTATGAACATTTAAAGTTTTTCTCTGTAAAATTGTAGACATTTATAAAAGCGTTACCACTAAAAAGGTTGATATAATATATGATGCCATAAGCACTAGATGGCATCATTAATTTTTGATAACTTTGATTTGTAAGTAACTATTATGATTGGTAGAGGAAAGATAGTTCCTAAAAAAGTTAAATATAGAATTATCATATGATCAGAAATTCCACTCGATACCAAATGGATCATTAAACATTATATATTAGAAGCCACTCAATAGGTGGTTTCATTAATGGACAAGTGGATTGTGTGTGCCTACAATGGGATGATATTCAGTCAAATAAATGATTCAACTTTTGATAGAGGCAATCAATAGGGGGGGGGCCCTGAAATCATATTAAGTGAAAATAAAACGCAAAACCCCCAGAACAAACCAACAGGATGTAAAATGTAATGCATTGCATGATTCTGTTTTACAAAATATTCAAACTGGGAAAAGCCATAAATATAGAAAAGTACATTGGTAACTTCCAGGACCTGGAGATGGGGTAGCAGGGAGCAGCTATTTAATAGGGGGCACAGAATTTTATTGAGGGGTTAAAAAGTGTACTTGAACTAGAAAAGGACTCTGGCTATACAACACTGTTAATGTACTATGTGCTGCCAATTTGTTCACCCTAAAATGGTTAGTTTTGTGCTATCTAAATTTAACCCAATAACAAAAAGGAAAAAAAAAAGAACAAAGGCACTCAAAGATTAGCATAGTCCATAGAATAATTTTAGTCATCATTTGCACTTTTTACTGAGTGGCTGAGGAATTTGGGGCCAGTGGTCCTGGCCTGACACATAACAGCTGTGTGACCTGGGACAGGTAATCCTGGCCCTCTAAGCCTGTTTCTACCTCAGTAAAATAACTGCACAAAAACAATACCTAGGAAGAATCTTGCCTGGGAGATGATCATACTCTGTAAATGTTAGCTGTAGGATCTCATTTCATTAAAACAGCCATGAGCATTCTGTAAAGCTGGAGGCACAGGGGTTAAAGTCTGCAGCCACTGACCTGAAGACGCTGTAGATTTCAGTCTTGGAAAGCCCATAGGGAAACTCTGTCCTGCAAGGTGATGAGTCAGAACTGACTCCACAGTCTGGGGTTTGGCTTCTGCGAAGGGCATTTAAACTATGCTTTACGTGCAAATGTGAGCACAGTGCAAAATGAAACATAAAGGTGGGAAAGTTCCTTTCCTCTCTTCTGGTGCTGATTCACATTTTTCTTTCTCCTCCTTCTCACCTTTTATTTGATAAAGGAAGTCCTATTTTTAGAGTAGGATACTAAAGAACTTTATTGAATCTAAGGCCTTAGTGCTTCAGCCTTCAAATGAAGAGTAACTGCATAAAAGGCAGATGAACACACAAATACTATCTAAATGAGCCTTTTAAAATATTAAGGATAGACAGCAAGCATCTTTTTCTCAGTGTTTAGACAAGGAAGATATAGTATGCATTACCAGCAACAATAACTATTAGTTAACAGAGGTGTCAAGTCAAAAACAGCTGGAAGCAGAGCTGTACAAATGCTGTGACTCTTAGTTTTCCCTCCTGAGCTTCCAGGACTCATCTTCTCGAGCCTGTAGCTGGCCAGCTACTCACCACATGCGCCTGCCGTCGGCTGTGCCTCTCCCTGTCCTCACCAAGACCGGCTACAATGATGCCACTGCTTCTCTCGGTGGCAAATGTGGCCAACAATTCCGATTCTGGTGACAAGGGCTTGGGTGGCAACTCAATATAGCCGCCTTTCAAGAAGCTAACACTTCGGACAGGCTGGTTACACAGGAGATAAAAAAAAATCCCATCAGTTCCCACAGGAATTTTTCGTCTACCATAGCGGAGTTCCTGCTGTTTTAGCCGTATTATCTCTTTTTCTTTTAACATTATTTTATATTATTTTATTAATTTCAGTGAACATTAACAGAGATTTTGGATTTCCATTCATTCATTGTTGCACTTTTCTCCCCACCCCCCCCCCCACCTCCAGTTCGCTCTTTAAAAGCAAAAGAAAAATTCTTTCATTGCTATACAATCCCCCGCACCCCCCCACCCCATCTCGAGGATACTCCACTCTGCAACCCTCATTCCGAACTCTTATGATAATCATAATGCCCTAAAATATATTACTTTTAAACTGTTCTCTCCCTCATCAGCTTCAATGCAGTATACATAAATGATCCAGTTTTTCTCAGTCTTACCCCCACCCTGATGTCAGCCTCAAGCCATATTCTCTTATCACACACCCTACTAGTTTTTACTTTGTTATATTACTAAGTTGACAAACTAATGGACATTTCTAGAAACTCACTCCACTATGAATAAGACTCTTCATACCTCCAGTATACAGCCTTTTTTAACTCCATATGAATTTCTGAGTAAGTCAAATGTTGATCTAGATATTTCCAGATTTTTTATACAACCCACGTAGCTTCTGCTGGTGATGCCTTTCCTGAAGGGAAGCACATGAGAACAGCAAAATACCTGAATATTTTAACTCCAATTATGGAAGAAGGATTAACAATGAATTTGTAATGTTGAAAGATGGTTTTCCCCTGTGTAACTTTGCAGAAATACTTAAACATCTAAAAACTGATGAATAAGAACTTTAGGTTAAAGAAATGGTTTCTTTACTGAGTGGGAGTTTGGCTACTATCATGTATTGAATTGTATCCCTCCAAATTTTTTATATAATAATATAACATGAAAATGAAGCAAAATTATTCATGATTTGATAAGCCAATCACTTAAAAAAGGATTAAGGGTGGAGTGCAATATCTTTAAACCATCACAACACTGATCTACTGTACAGAAAATGTCTTTGGAGTGTGGCCTATAATATCTTTTATTTTACAAAAAGTAAATTGGAAGGGGAACATCAGAACCATCAAGAAAAAGAGAAGTGGTCTGTATCCTTTGGACCCCTGGTCAAGAAAGAGAATCCTCAAGGAATGTGGGCTTTCAGATCTTAGCTTGCAATAGCGACCTCCCTTCAGAATCTTCCTTGCCCTCAAACTAGCACTTTGAATTTAGACTTCTGGTTTTCTAAGCTATGAAAGAATTTCTTTTCATTAAAGTCACTCACTTAAGATATTGCTGCTATGAAAACACTAGATAACTAAACAACCACTTAAATGCACATCTAGACAAAACCATGTTTAATAATAGGTGAACAAAAATGATTATTATTACTAATTAAATATAGTTATAAAGACAAAGTCCAAGAATAAGAAAAGCAAGAGTTAGCAAAAGAATATTAGAGTCAGTTCATGGAGTAAGTATTGTTGTCGTTTGTTGAAGGCCAGGCTATTTCCCCAAACTGGATACATAGAGAAGTCCCTGGCTGTTTTCCTTATATTTATAGACTTTGCATTTGGTAAATCTGAGGTTACTGAAAACTCTATTTTTAATCCTCAACTCAATACCATGCATTTCTGATAAGAATGTACCATATTCCTGTTTGGAAAGAGGCTTTTGTTTCCAAAATATGGAAACTGCTGGATGTTTCAAATTGTACACATGTGTATCCGCTAATCATAGGAGAAACTCATAATAGTATTTTTCCTTTTCTGTGTTCTACAGTGAATTAGGAGTCATCAGACAACTATATGATCTGGAGCAAATTTCAGTTCTTCTTAATCTCATACTTTACAGTAGGAACTGTAAATGAGAAGGCAAATTCGACTTAATCCAAGTTCCCCATGATCTTTTTGTCGGTAATAGCTTTCTAGAAAAAGGACCTTTTGTACTTTTCTCCAATGTAAAATTGTCCACATTTAGACCAAGTATGAGTGGCTATAACTCCCTGGTTCTATCATCGTTTGTATCTAAGATTGTGTCTCAGAGAGGATTCCAATCCTGGCTCTGTTTTGGCAGAACAGTGTGACCTGAGACAAGTGACAAGCTTCCCTGAAGTGAGTGGTTAAATCTATGTTTTTAAATGATGGTCCTTATAACTTTGAAGAATTTTTGGCAAATGAAAAAGAAAGAGCTCCCTGAGTTATTTAATCCAGTGCAAACACTCAAGTGTCTATATTGAGATTCTGCATAGAAATTATGTTTGAAAGCAGGATTCTGCTATAAATGCCCAGTTGAAACCACCGAGCTGAGTTGAGTGACCCAGCGTGGACATTTCCAAGCTCTAGTCCATAGAAGTTTGACAAAAAATTGGTTTTCTTGACAGCTAATCCTTTTTGTTTTGTTTTGTTTTAAAAAAGAAACAAACAATAAAAACAATACTGAGAAAGTGTTCTAGAGCTTACTTTGTGTAATCCAAAATTACAAAATAGAGCATAATGAAGTATAGCAAGTTTGTATAAATTATTAAAGCTATAGAGTTAAACACGATTTACTGTTATAAAAGAATTCCACCACCTCTCCCCTCTACCTTCTTTCATGGGTCTTCCCAATAGTGGTCTTTCAACTCTCACATGCATTAAATCAGTCTACTCATGTGAAGAGGAACTCTTAGTTAAGTTTTGGAAAGTATGAATTTTTCTTGCTTTTAAAGAGACTGTATTGTTCTAAAATATTGAGAAATGAGGACGGTGTGTGATAGAAAGCAAATATTGCATGACAACAATTTCTAGATAGTCTAAAGATAATAAAGAATCATTAGTTTAATTGTAGAAGTCTTACTTTTATAACCCAATTTATACGCCATATAGCAGCTTGAATAAAAGTTAGTGATTGGGTATGTATTTTTTCCAACTGAATATCATACCTTATAACTCTTGACCTAGGTAACCCCCCAACATAAATTGGATCCTTATCAAGGCGATTGAGATCTGAAGACACTCCTGGAGCTTCACCTTGTTTGGTTTCTTTGTAACTGGTGTTAGAAGCATCAATGACCACCAGGAGTGCTAGAAGGAGATAGAAGGGAATAGAAATGAAGATCATTTTCTATTTTAAAATGAAACAAAACTATTACACCTTTTTCAGTGCAAGTCTGTCAACCAAAGTTCATTTACAAATACATATCATTTTATATTATGCAAATTTAACCAATTAATCCTATTAAAGGGAACTTTGATGGTCTAATGGTTATGAAGTTGGACTGCCAACCAAAGGCAGGTGGTCTGAATTGGCCAGCTGCTCCACAGAAGAAAGATGGGCAGTCTAGTCCTGTGTGATTTATAGACTCTAAAAACCTACTGGAAGGTCAGCTATGAGTTGGTTCAGAGTTGATGGCACATAACAATAACAAGAATGTTATCGACTATAAATGGAAACAATGTAAATTATCTATATAAAAGTAAATAAATCTAGACTACACATGGCTAAATGACAGTGGTAAGTTCATTAATGAAAATATCAGAATAGGTTTGCCTCTTGAGTACCATTTGACCTTTACAGTAAAATAAAGCAATTGGAAATATATAAGTAGAACTAAAATATTCCTCCAGCAAAATGCAAATCCTCCTTCTTGGTATCCAAAGATAGTAGTGGCTTTCAATTACTGTACCCTTCAGGAAACTGAAGTAAATGAGAGTGCTGTTTAGAACGAGATCTCTCCCTACAAGGGAGACCAACATCATATTACATATCAGACTTACCCTGTTTTTTGTTTCGCTGGAAGGCAATTTTATACCAGGTCCCATTGTTAAAACGTCTGTCTGTAATAAGTGCAAGCGGTCCTGAACCCAGGTCAAAAGTGGCCTTAACTCTGCCATGAACCAGCTCAATAGACAAAAAGTCTTTCTGTAAGGATGATAAAATAGTTACCGAGGCTTTATCTTTACAAGATTCCCTACAAGTTTTCCTTTCCCTTCAAGATAAGGATGGAAAACACCACTTAAAACTCAAACAGGATCTAGCCCACTAGCCAAAGCCCTGGCCTGTGAAAATGCAAATGTTCATGAAGGTTCTCTAGAAGGCTACAAAGCCACATATGAAACAATAGTCATCGTTGTAAAAAAATTTACAGTTCAGGAAGATAACTGGAATTTCTCTGAATTGCTTTTATTTGAATCATAGATGCGCCAGCTCCCAAGAATATGAAAAGATTGAGAGACAAAGATTGAGACTCCATTGTTATGTGAGAGAAAACTGGAATAAAAAACTGTCAAATAGAATTAAAACAGTGGCATTGTGATCAGAGTGAACAGAGAAAAATGTAAAAATTTAATTACAAATGTTTAATTGATACTGGTAAATTATTGGAAAGGTTTTGCATTTTGTTTTGTTTTTCTTTTACTTTGTGTTCGTCTATATTTTCCAAAAGTTCTTCAATGAACTTGCAAATTATAATAAATGATTTAAAATGGGAGAGATAGAGCATCTATGTGTCTATAGCACAACAGTTTGTATATACACCAAACAAAACAGCCATTAGACATAAGTATACCCACAGCCATCTACGTACATATAAACAGTAGGGCCCAGTGCCCATAAAGGTTCTTACGGTGGCATTTGAAGTGAGATAGAGAAGCAGTCCATTAGGTGAAAAGGTATTAAAGAGCATTATTATCTGTGTCACTGTTGCCCGGAGGTTCTTCTCCAAGACAGAATATCCGCTCCCGTCAAAATGGAATGAGGAGTCTTCATTCTGGGGACTACAGAGCAAAGGAAGAATAACATAAACCATTCTCAGAAAGACAAAGAGAACTAAAGATCCATTTACTAAATTTTACACACACACACGACTAAATCATAAATACTAAAAAATACATTCATCATAAGATTAGTCAAGTAAAGTGTTGAATTGTATTAAAAGGAAAAGAAAGTTGGTGTAGGTGGTTTTCAGTTTATGTTTGTTCTCACTTCCTACTGTATAACTCTTTCCTTATTTCCAGTGTTTTCAGAATATTTTTTACATTATCATGTATCTCCCTCTGCTGGTATTAGACATAAGTTAGACTAGAGTTATTTTATGGAAAATAAAGATGTTTCAAAATACCAGAAGACTCATTTTACAAAATAATCACCAACATATTAAAAAAATTCTACATGATGAAGTCTATGATAGAAGGAGAATTGATGCCTTTGAGCTGTGGTGCTGGAGAAGAATACTGAATATACCATGGACTGCTAGGAGAACAAAAAGGTTCATCCTAGAGAGGGTGAGATCAGGCTGCTCCTTGGAGGCAATGGTTTTGAAGCTTCCTCTGACATACTTTGGGCATGCTGTAAGAAGGGACAATCCTTGGAGAGGGATATCATGCTTGAGAGTGTGGAGTGACAGCGTAGGAGAGGAAGACCCTGGATGAGACGGACTGCTTCAGTGACTGGGGTAATGGGGGTAGGTGTGTCAGAGACAATACGATTAGCACAGGATAGAGCAAGGTTTAGGGTTGTTGTACATAGGATCGTTATGAGTCACAGGCAACTCGACAACACATAAAACCAAAAACAACAACAACAAAAAAAACCACTAAAAAACAAAAAAAAACAAACCCCAACAATAGAATGAAGTTAAAGACTTTGACAATATTTTGAGACAAAATAAGTGATTTACAACACAGTTACAAACTATGGGCCATTGATCCTTTCCTTCAGGCCTTTTCTCATCTTTCCCCCATCTGCCTGATTTGATTTACTATTCAATTTTAAACTGGGTCAATCTGAAATGTATATGTATGTTCCCAAAACACTTGTTTAGAATATAATGGGATTTTAAAGTGAAATTTGGATTTGAATGAATTGGGATATGAATTGCAACTATTTCCAAAAGATGTAACAACCAAAATCATCCTATTTCAAAGCAAGTGAGTGTAACCAAACAATGAAATTGTTTCTATTGACAAAAACAAAACAAAACAAAGTCCAAAAAAGGTTAATGCATTATGAAAACTGAGGTTTTAAATATCTGTTGTTATAGATCATCAAGTTGGAACTGAACCATAGCTGACCCTCTGGTGGATTTTCAGAAGCAATTAATCTCATGGGGGGAGACTGCTCATCCTTCTCCTGTGACTAGCTACTTGAAATTCTATTTTTTCCTCTTTTAAGAAGTAGAACTTAAAGGAAACACAATCTGCATACTCTTATAAAGTATAAACTGATTAATAATATTTAAACCTGAGTCTTCCTAGAATTATATTCCATTGCACTACTACTTTATTAAGTCTAATTTAATGTGATTAAGAACATAGACCCAGATGTGTAGTTGCTGTTATGAACTGTCGAGTAAAACTCATTGTGACCCTCTGACTAAAAGATCTGAACCCTGTCCTATCCTGTGCCATCCTCACACTTTTTTTTCTTCGACACACTAGAGCCCATTGCTGCAGTCACTGTGTCAATCCACCTGGTCAAGGATCTTCCTCTCCTTTGCCAACCCTCCACCCTTTCTAGCATCATGTCCTTCTCCAAGGAATAGTCCCTTTCAGCAACACGCCTGAAGTAGGTGAGGTGAAACCTCATCATCCTTGCCTTCAAAGAGCCCTCTGGCTGCACCCTGTCCAAGACATATGTTTGGCTGTCCATGAGATGTTTGAGCTCTTCTCCAATACCATAGCTCAAAGACATCAATTCTTTTTCTGTCATCTCCATTCATTGCCCAACTCTCAGATGCATAGCAAGCGATCAGAAATCCCATAATCTGAATCAGAGGCACCTTAGTCTTCAAACTTACATCATTACTCCTCAATAATTTGGAGAGTTCCCTAATTGCAGATTTTCCCAGTGCAATGAGTCTCCTTATTTCCTGATGGCTGGTACCAATGGTGTTAACTGGATCCAAGCAAGACAAAGTTCTTTGCTTTAGATCCAGATTGTTGTTGTTGTTGTCAAGTGCAGTCGAGTCACAGATGATTCATAGTGACCCTATGAACTAAAGAACACTTCTATAACTTTCATTGTTTCTCCAAGTTCATAAAGTTCTCGGAGGCAAGCTATTTCAGAAGTGCATGCCACTCCTGCAACTTAAGTGTCCATCAACAAACGAATGAATAGAGAAGCTGTGGTATATTCACACAATGGAATACTACACTGCATTGAAAAACAAGGAACTCATGCAATATTATTCAAAATGGGTGACCTTTGAGGACATTATGCTGAGTGAAATATCTCAGTCACAAAAGGACAAATACTGCATGGTGCCACTGTTGTAGAATGAGGCTAACATCAGGGTGGGGGTAAGTCTGAGAAAAACTGGATAAATTATGTATACTGCATTGAAGCCAATGAGGGAGAGAATAGTTTAAAAGCAATGTATCTTAGGGCATTATGATTATCATAAGAGTTTGGAATGAGGGTTGTAGAGTGGAGTATACTCAGGGTGAGGGTGGGAGGGTAAGGGGGGATTGTATACCAATGAAGGAGTTTTTCTTTTGCTTTTAAAGAAGAGTGAACTGGGGGTGGGGGGGGGTGGGGACAAAAGTGCAACAATGAATGAATGGAAATCCAAAATTTCTGTAAATATTCATTGAAATGAATAATAATAATTAATAATAAAAAACAAAAAAAGAAATACTGGCTAATATTAGAGTACTAACTTATTCATTTAACCACTACACACATGTACATGCTATATGCATGGATCTTGAGGAGGAACATCTGACTTTCCTTCCATTGACTGAGAAGCTTCCAAGCTTGTTTTAATTGGGGAGCTCCACCCAACACTGTCCACTGTAGGTAACCATTATCTCATTTGATACATCAGTGTCACAGTGTTTAGCCTCTCAGCAACCACGAGTTACCTCTGTACAGCAAATGGACAGACCAGTGCTATACCACTTAGAAGAATGTTTGACCAAGAATAATTAAAAACAGGCCTGAGGTGCAAATCCCAGGTCTACAATAAGCTGTTTGAGTTTGTAAACATTACCTAATCGCTCAGTGTTTCTTTATGTTTTTCATGTATAGAGATAAAAGCATCTCCATGGGAGTGATATAATTGGATAATTACATGTCAGGCACTTATAACAGTAACTGAATCATGGGAAGCTCTTACTCTCTTTTAGCTATTATTATTCTGCTTTGTTCAGAGATTCTCACTGGGAAGTGAGAAGGCTAAAGAGAGATTTCAAAGTCTAGTCATGTACGTATTCATTGAGAGGTAAGTCTTCAGACTTGCACAGTCCTTACCATTCATTGTGTAATTACTACAGGCTAGAGGCCACTTTTACTTATGTTCTCTCTAGTCTTCACAACCATTGTCAAGTAGGTGTTATTATCTTTACTTTGTTTGTTGTTGCTGTTTAATGCCATCGAGTCGTAGACGACTCATAGCGACCCTATGTACGAACAGCCTGAGCACATCTTTACCCTAGCTATTGGAAAATAGATAGACAAGGGGGAAAGTTAAATTTCCAACTTCTATGTCTTGATTTTTAGGACCTCAGCTTTCACTCTAGCCCCTTGCACTCTCAGTAGGGTCTGCCAAGGACATGGCTACAAAGACTGATACGTCTTCAAATGAAATGGTGACTGACATGGATTCTCCTGGAAGTCTCATTGTCCCTGAGGTGAAGAATACAATTTTTCAGTATGTCCCTTTGACACTCAATTCCCAAGCTTTCCACAAAGGCACTGCAAGCCCTGGCCTAGCCTCATAGGGCACATAGGCTTCTGGGATCAGGCCACGGGCCCTGGCCACACAGTGGGTAAAGGATAAAAGGAAAAGTGCCCGCTCACAACACTGCATTGATAAAGTTCTCCTAGTCTTTTGGAAAAAACCCTAAGCCTGCAGTGAATAGTGCCATCTCGGGCATCTACTGAGCAAAAAACTGCCCGTCCAGCTCTTCAGTCCTATGAGTCTGGGAGAATTGCTACACTGCTGTGGTCTTCAAAGTGCTCATTTCTGAGATTCAATATCATCAAACCTCTTTGGTTAACATGCCATAAAAGTGAGTGCAGCCAGGTCCCGTGCAGCTGCCTGTGCTGCCATTGCCCCACTTTCCACAGGCATGACATTTCCTCACGTTTCCACACAGGTATTGCTGCTGACTGTGAGATATTTGAGGAGACATATTTCTTACTGGTTTTAACATCACCAGACCCTTTAGTAGGACCTGGAACATGATAAGATTTTAATAAAATAACTCTCACAAGTAATAACCACACGGCCACTGGTTTAGTGCACTGTCACCTCTTAATAAGGATTATTTTTCTTAATAAAATAAGAAAATATTTTCCATATAAACGAGAGAATTGTTACAATTAGAAATTATAATATCTTTAGGAATTTAAGAGACTATTCATAGTAAGAACTCTGTTGTCTTGTAGGTAAGAAGTTGTACTGCAAACCCAAAGACAGGTGGTTTATATCCACTAGCTGCCATGAGAAAAATGGGAAGTCTCCACCTGTGTGATTTACAGCCTCCAAAAACCCTCTCTGGAGGGTGAGCTATGAGCCTGTTCTGACTTGATGTTAATGAGCTAAGTTCAAAATGATGAAATTATACTGACTCTACTTAAAGAAGCATGTTACTATAACAAAGAGGAATAACAATAATATAAAATCTCATTCTTGGAAGTATTTCAAAACAAAAATGTGCAGCAGTTTACCCAAGATGGCTTACTAGTGACTCTGAGACAGAAGGTTGCTTGAAAAGTTGTTTGAAGTTTCTGAAATTTATGATTTATGATTAAAACATTCAAAACATAGCAAAAGGAACAATTCTTTTTTTTTTGCAGGTTAAAATAATTCCCATGCTTCTGTTCATAATAGTCATATTTCTTGCAATAAAGTGACTGATATCACAAACCTTATTGGTCCTTTTCATGTTTATGTAAATGATCTATACAGGAACAGCACATTCACTGCACTTTGAATGCTAAGGAATGTTTACCTGCCGAAACAGCCATGACACATGCCCTCCCTTTCGATGTAGTTCCACAGGCCGACAGATTTTCCATTCAAAAAGGCTTCGCCCATACAGCCTCTAAAATGAGTGACCTTCACAGCAGGAGACTTCTGATGTAAATAAAACAAACAAGCATCACCCACAAGTACTGGTGAAGAGAAATGTTTTTTGAGCACACAGAACTTTTACCTAGGAGCTCACATCTAACATAAAAATTTTGAGAAAACAATACTCAGAAAAATGACATAATATAATTACTGGATGGCTTTCCAGGCTTCAAGTGGGCTTCTATGATGACTGAAAACTAGACAGGGTGGTAAAGGGCATCTCTCATCTGGAATCACTAAAAGTGAAGTCCTTCAAGTGAAGAAAAAGAGACTCAGAGAATGTGAGGAGTAGTGAGAAACCTCACTAGGAGTGAGAACCTCAGTCTTATTTCAGATTGTAGAACCAAGTCATGGAACCATATTTGTTGACAGTATGACTGGTGTAGTAGAATAAATGCAACTGACTCTTTCATAGACACGTATTGTTTTAGTGTTCTACCAGCAATAGAGGAATTTTATACATATTAATATAGAAAATTAAATTTCCTGTTTTATCATTAGAAAATAAGTTATTGGCTTCTTCTCCATTTATTGATTATTTAAGCATGGCAGCTAACACTTTAAAATCAGCCAACACTGCAGATGAAAAGCAATTAAGCAAAATAAAAGAAGCAGGGGGATTCTTTTCAGTAGTCACCAATACTAAGATTATATAAAGGGAAAATCAGAAACTTGCCTTGATTTGTCCTCCAAGTCCTCCGACAAACATGAGTGTTGAATTGTTTATATCCAGAACATTTGCTCTTCCAGGGGATTTACTTATTTTTGTTTGTGGCTTTTGAGTTGAGCTCATTTCCTTTACACTCAAGGAACCGGTGTTTCCAAATCTGCAGATCACAAAGAGATGCAAAAGGAACATTTCCAGAATTCCAGTTCATAGCATGAAGTCCATACATTTGTCCTATGCACAGCCTACCTCTGTTTCTGTCCACATGCAAGCAATATATTCTCAAGTGGCTGGTCTCTGCCTACCCTCCTATTTCCCAATTTACTTTGCACAATCATGAAAAGCATTTCATCCAAAATGTCCATCCCAATCTGTTATCTTCTTGCTTGAAGCAGCTACTTCAGTTAGAAGTTAGCAGTTAGAGGATGAGTTAAGCCATATTTGGAGCCAGTATACTATTCTCAATGAAAAACCTGTTAGGTCACTTTAACTCCCTGATGTCCCATGTGTGATAGTAGGCTCAAGCTCCTCAGGGTTCTCAGTGGCTGCTTTTGAGGTGAAGACACCAAGCATTTTTACTGGTAGAACCACCAACCTTCAGGTTACCAACTGAGGCCAGTAACAATCTGTACCACATATGCACTCAATAAATATTAGTTACTGTTGTTGCTAAGTGCAACCACTACCAATATTACACCATTATCATGTAAACCAGTGCAAACTACAAATTCCAGAAACAACAAAATATAATTGAGAAAAGTGAAAAGGCAGATATACTTCAAGGAAGGGAGATATATCAAAAGGAAAACAGAGCTGCTAAAACAGTTTTAGCATGACTCTGAAAACCCACAGGAGGGTCAGCTATGGGTCAGTTCTGCCTCAGGGGCACATAACAACAATAAAAGTAGTTGCCTCCACAGATGATAAATGGAAAATTTTATTTTGGGCTGATATTTTTAAAATTCTCACTTGTACCATTTTCTTATGTTTCTCCCACTTGTGTACCACTGATGAGCCCATGGGATTTCTACCGCTGAGCTTACTCTCTGGGAATATTTTCCTGGGCTGGCTGCAAGAAAATCTTAAAGTCAGTGGTTTCCCTTGTTGGACTTGCATATTCTGGATAAAAAAAAATAATTTATTCTGGATAACAAAGTTTATTTCTATTGTAATAAGAGGAATATATCTTTTGTATACAGTTCATCTGAACCAAGTATTCTTTATAACCTGACTTCCTGGAGATGTCAAAGCCTATTTTATTTTACAAGTATATAGTCACTTAGAAATATTAGGCAAATATAATTTTAAAAAGGGATGCTCAGAGAGAACGTCCTCACTTACCTGGTTACATAGATACTGTGCCATTTGTTGTTATCAATTGCAAAGTCTGTAAATTCTAATCGTGTGGCACCAGAGCCCACATCCCACAGGAAAGCCACCTTTCCACGCCGCATCTCCACAGCCAGGAAATCCTCCTGTGGATGAGGGATAGAGGCCAGGGTTAAATCAGACAATAGCCCGTTTGCTGAACTGCCAAACACTACAGAATGAGACTGCACAGCATTCACTCCAAAATTAAAACAAGAACACCCCCCAAAGTAGTCTTTTTTTCTGTAATTACTCCCTTTCTTGGAGCTAAACCAGAACACAGATCGATGGCATTCGCTGTTGAGCCCCTTCACCCTCTGCCCTTGCCTGTGTGTGGTCTTCCCTGGCCACCTCCATTTGTGACCCTCCAGGAAGGACCTCTGTGCAGCCTTTGCTCATGATAATGATCCTTTACGAGGTCATTGAAAACAACTGTGGCCAACTAATTCTTTCTGTCCTAACACACTGGAGGGTTCTATTCCAATTTGCTGATACAATGTTCTTCCACGACATTTTCCACAAGAGATAGCTTCTGGGAATCAAGATAATCAAGTTGGTGGGAAAGCCAGGGTGAAATTTCAAATGCAGACATGTCTCCCTAGGGCTCATGCCTTCCCACTTCTGCTAAGAGTCACTGTACTGGTGCACACATCCAAAGCTACTGCAGTCCCGCCAGGGTCATATGCATGGGGTCCCATTCTCAAAACTGAGATAACATGACAAAGAGCTGAGTGAACCTTTCACAATGTTTTTTTCTTTCTCTCAGGGAATTTTGTCATTTGTTTTCTTTTAATCTAATGTTATGAGTTGAGCAAGTTTGGGTCTCTTAGAAGAATTAGAAACGCATAGTAAATTGGACTGTGGACTTTGCGGGGCATTGTATAATAATGAAATTTTTTTTCTTTTTAAAGAGAAAAATTAATTGGAGGGGAGGGGTGGGCAGGGAGGAAAATGTGCAACAATGAATGGGGAAAAATAAATGGAAAGAATATGTTTTAAATTTTATATACATATAATTAAAAAATCATTAATAAAATAAAAAAAAGAAAAATAATTAATGATTTCCCCAAAGCTCTATTTTTCCCCCCATAAAAGCATGTCAGCTCAGAAAAGATATATATTCATAAAACCATGGTTCCTGCATGTCTGAGACTCACGCTGGTGCTGCTCCCAAGGTAGAAGAGAAGGTTGTCGGGTTCCCTCGTTCTAACATGCAGGGTTAATGTGTTGTAGTTGGTGGAAGAAATCTGTGGCTGGTAAGCTCGAATGCAGTCTCTGTCCGCAGCCACTGCCACTTTAATCTGCAGAGAGAGGACCACATCACTGTCATCTCAGGACGAGCACCAGCCAAGTGCTCACGGTGGGATCCTGACTGATTCCCACTGCTTCCCACGTGATAGGACATGATGCCATGGATATCAGAAAGCTATCAATCAAATAATGGTGAAAAACATTTTGTTTCATAAAGTGTTTAAATACAGTAAAGTCAGTGCTGGAGGGTGTTTTTAGAGCATTTTATGTAGGAAACTCTCACACTTTAATGTTCTGGGGATGAGCCCAAACTGCACAGGCATTCTGAAAACAACTTTTGAATATATATCAAATGATGAAATGACATTATATGCAAACAATGAAATACACAGTGATACACTTAGACTTAAAATGTTCTACATTAGTTAGGTTGATATTGTTATATGCTGTCAGAACTGACCCATAGCTGACCCTCCACCAGAGCATGCTGATGGATTAGAACTGCAGGCTTTGGGGATTGGAGTGCAGCTTCTTACTGCGAGCTCCTTCATCATTTAGGTTAATAATTATTATCTATAAATCCACACTAAAGTTACAGATGGAATTCTTGGGATAGCAAGCACTAGATTGGTGGTTTAAATCCAGCCAAAGTCATCTCAGTAGAAAGGGCTGGAAATCTACTACCAAAACATCATCCCCGTGTGTCTGTCTACTGAGACACGCACAGGGGACCAGGGGAGGGGAGAGGAGGTTGCTCTGAGTTGGAAGTGACTTGCATTAACTAACTGACTAATTAAAATCATTGTTTAGCTCCAAAAAAGAAATGTCTGTTTCTCTTCTAAAAACATGCTGGGGCACACTGAACACAGTACACTAATGAATATACTTGAGAGGAGGCTCTGAGGAAGGTGGTCTAACTGGCCAGGGTCTGCAGTACTGAGACTGGAGGCACACTTTCCTACAGGACTCTTGGTTGCCAGAGTAATAACTTGCCTGAGTGCCCCTGAGTGACACTGTGTGACAGAGCCCTACTCACGGATGCTGCTTGTTTCCGGGCCTGGCTGATCATCAGTTTAATTTCGGAGAGATTTCTGTTCAGGTTCTCTTCTAGCATCTTCAAAGGCTTCAGCCGATCAAACAAAAGATTGGCTTGTGTTTCCGCATCTTTCACTTTTCGTCCAACTAACAGAGCTAACAGACACAAGGAGATGAGGAGTCGAAGTAAAACTTGAAGGAGAGGGGACATTTATGCATTATGAATTCATCAATAATGCACTGGATATAGATTACTTTAAATAACCAAAGCCAAGAAATTTAGGTAAATACATGAACAATACATGTCCAAGAGATTTTGCTCTCATTAGACATGCAAATCCAGATTTCCTTTTCTGGGAGTGCTGTTTGATATCACTTGGGAAGTCAGAGTTTGTACTTTGCACACCCAGCCTGGACCAGAGTGAGGGGAGCCCTCGGCAGGCTGCCTACTGAAGGCTGATGTGGACGTACCAGCCTCAGAGGAGCTGAGCAGGAGCCCACTGGTCTCCTGAAGTGTGGCGTTCATACTGGACAGCGTCGCCGAGGTGGTCAGCAGCTTCTGGCTCAAGCCCACAACATTGTTCAGTGTGCTGGCTGCACTCTGACTTGCAAAGGTGGCTACCTGTCTGGCTCGAGTTCCTCTGTCTCTGACACCTGAAATAAATTTATATGCGACCATACACTGGTGATTACACACAAAGAAAAGCATAAAACCAGAACAAATGCAATTTTACAGAAACACATGCTTCAGTATTTCTTATTGCTTGTTGAACACAAAACTGGGTTGTGCTTTAATGGTAATATCAAAGTTGCTTAGCATGTGCTCTATTGCTGTCTTTTCAATAAAATGGAATACTTTTTTCGAAAACAATGTATGCAAATTTTTAAGTAAACCAGCATAAAATAAAAAAATACATACTTACAATAGAAAATAACTGAATACTTTTTGCAATAATGACGTGGAATATGATTTTAACACACAATGAAATCGCAAATAAAAAGCAATTGCTAATTGCCATGCGCTTAATGTCTTTTATGTTAATAAGCTAATCTTCTTAGTTTGATTTGCTTTTTATCAATTCCTCCTCCTCATCAAATACCTTCCCCAGATAACTTCTCCAAACTAGGAACATAATATTCATCAGTGAGAAGAATGGTCCAAAGGTTAGAGCAAGCGGTGTTTGTCTACAACATTAACTGACCACCAGATGTGACAGCAAAATAAAAGCGTAGTGTTCACCAGAGGTAAACTGGAATTCAGAGACATTGTAGAAAGTCTAGGTAACTTTTTTTAAAAAATACAGTATAATTTATTTTTGAAGTAATTAGTAATAAACACTGTTGTTGTATGTAGAGAAAGATCAGTTGGCCTAGTGGACAGAAGGTGATGCTACCAAACCAAAGGTGGGTGACTTTTAATCCACGGTCCTCAGGTCTGTTTTTCATTGTTTTTTGTCAAACATTCTTCTAGGTCGTAAAGCCCTGGTGTGTTCACTTGCTGTACAGAGGTAACTTGTGGTCACTGTGAAGCTGAACACTGTGACACTGATGAGTCAAATGTGTTAATGGTTACCCATGATGGACAATGTTTGGTGGGGCTCCCTGATTAAAACAAGCTTGGAAGCAGGAGTGGCATCCACTTCCATAAATAGCTTGCCTTCGGAAACGCTATGAACCTGGGGAGAGGATGAAAGTCACACAAGTGTTGAGGACTTTCATTCATAAGGTCACTAGGAGTCACCTACAACTCTTTGGCACTTAACAACAACAGTAATAAACACAAAAAAACATCTGAACTAGAGAATCTGGGGAAGAGTATATAGGTACTCTTTGTACTCTTATTGCAACATATTTCAGAATAAAAAGTTACATTTAACAATATATCATGTTTTCTAAAAAAAAAAAAATCCGCTACAAAACAATAAAAACAAATAAAACTCTGCCAGATCAGAGACTGCTCCACCAACTTAAAGGTAAGATAAGCCCAGATCAGAGCTTTGAGCAGTCATTTCCACACTTAACAGCGAACCTTAGAGGTACAAGGACCTGGAGAGGAGTTTAAAATCAGGCAAGATTTAAAACTAACAAACAGAAGTTTTTTATTAAGAACAGAAGGATGTTTATGGCATGTCCACAATGTACCTAATACAATTAATTTGTGATACACTTTTAAGTTATCGTGCTTAAAATTTTAATTACTATTATATATCCAAATGTGGTCAGGAGGGATCAGTCCTTGGATAAGGACGTCATGCTCAGAAGGGTGGAGGGACAGTGCAGGAAAAGAAGACCCCGGATGAGATGGATTGATACAGTAACCAGGGCAATGGAGGTAGGTGTATTGTGATCAGTGAGACTGGCTCAGTACAGGATAGGGTTCAGAGCTGCTGTTGCTATGAATCACAGATGACTCAGTGGCACATAACAACAACAACATCCAAATCATCAATATGAGAGTGATCCATGAGCCTATTTTAGAATGATTTTTGTTCCCTTGTGAAATAAAAATATGAAGCAAGAGTTTCTAAGTTCCCACATTTGTGATGAATCCAGCATTTTCCTTTAGTGCAGAGAAAGAGCAGCAAGCTTCGCTACTTGCTGACCACTTTGAATTGTCCTCATTTCATCTATGGCCTGGGCTAAGTCTGTTTTCAAAGTCAGCAAGTAAGATGGTAACACAAAGTCTCCAAGGGATTTACTTTGAAGAATGTAGCATATCAATGCAAGCATTCTGAAGTTTTTAAAAGTGACCATCTTGACTTCCAAATAAGATTTCTCAGCAAGCAAAGATTTTATCTATTTCTGTCTCCTTCAGAGCAAGGGCTCTTAATAAATTAACAGGAAGGAGATCATCAGGCTCCTGTGTAATAATTTTATAATGAATAACAGCAAACCACTCATCACCATCAAGTTGGAAGCAACTCATAGCTGACCCTCCAATGAGATTTTAGAGCCAGTGAATGGCAAAGGATGAGATTGACCATGGTTTTCTCTTAGAGCAGCTGGTGGATTTGAACCAACCACCTTTGGTGGCACAACACAACTCACAGAGCCCCCTGTTTTATGAAGTGTTGTTGTTGTTGTTGTTGCTGCTAGACACCACCAAGTATGACTCATAATGACCCTGTGGACAATAGATCTGAATCCTGTCCTCATCAGGAGATGTTCATGAAATCAAGAAAACCCTTTCCACTTACCTTCAGGATTTGCTCTAAGTATTAAGACTGACTCATTTATCTTCCTGGTAACTTTATCAGCACTGTCTTGAAATCTGTTTATTGCACTTTTCAGTCTACTCAGTTCTGCTGTCACACCTATTAAGGAAGGAGGTGGAGAGGAGTACTTATTTTTAGGTTAAGTTCCTAAGTAATCATCCATGCGCTAAATTTCTGCCACCTAATTCTATCACAGAATTGACAGTATAAAAAAAAAAGAATCATCATTACTGGAAGTTTTTCAAGCAGACAGTGAGTTTAGCAGTTTTTGTTATAGAAGCTGAGTGATTTTTCAGCTTGCCTGGTCATTTTCTGTATTACCTGTTGTCCTTCTCCCTAATACTTCTTAAACTTTATAGCAAATTTAATCAGGGGCCAAGAGTGAATAGCTGCATTCAAATCACTCAGCCTTAATCAGGTTAATTAATCTTTTATCCTCACCTAAATCTCACTTCCTGCTCCCCTCTAGGTTATAAAGTTCCAAGCAGGATCCTGTCTGTGACTTCCTCACAGTCCCTACCAATGTCCCTTCCCACTTCTCAACACAATCGTCTTCAAGTGTGACAAAATCGTTTATTTAAACTTTGTACTTTTAACATATCTGTTTGTAATAAACAATCATATCTGGATTCTGAATATATGGCTTAAATAATAAATTTCTTATAAAATACTTCATGAACACCATAGTTATAATTAAAATTTTAAATGCCAGAAACTTCACAACTCAATCTATAAAATATCTTTGATTGTTGGGTAAATTGAGATCACAACACATCAATATTGATGTAAGTTTGTGTTTAATCCTTTATGGTCAGCTTTGTGAATTCTCTGTATTGCAAGAAGACAACATTATTTCTACATGATGTTAGTAACAGAGGAACAAAAATAACATAACTAAGTTTGGCTAAGATAGGCATGGGAGGACTCAGCAGCTGTCATGAGAGTAAACTGAAAGGGCCATGAGCTTTGTTTATGGCCCGCTATTTACTCCTGAGGGAAGAACACTGATACTTCTGGAATTAGGGTGAAAAGTACACTACATGCTGTATTAATTTGTCTGCATATATACATAGTTTCTTTTGTAATATCTTGTCCAATACTTGTTATTTTTTTTTATAACTGACACATACCAAGTAACTATTTCCTGAAATTCTCAGAAAGAAGTAAATGCCATCCATTTGGAAAACTGATAATAATTTATAATTTATTTAATAATTATCTAATATAAAAAGCAATTGTTCTGGAAGGTGGGTTCTCTTGTTTTGGTTAAGGGTTGGGTGTGGACTGTTTGGTTGGTTTTTGGCGTGTGCTTTTTTTTCCATTCATAATCATGTGTGAGCTGATCGGTTTAGCTGAATTTAGCTAACAATGACCTGTGGGCTGAAAGCCCCTTGTTTAGAGTCAATCAGGACCTGGTGGTTGGGCCCTGACTACATCTCCAGCTTGGAGGCTTATGTGTGAAGCAGTTGGATTCTGGAAAGGTGACTTCTCTTATTTTGATTGAGGGTTGGGTGTGGACTGTTCGGTTGTTTTTTATTTCATTCACAATTGTGTGTGAGATGATTGGATTTGCTTGATTTAGCTAACTCTAAGCTGTGGGCTGGAAGCCTCTTGTTTAGGGTCAACCCTAAAATTAGGGTCAAATCCTAAGTCCTGTGGGAGGACTTTTGTATTTTAAAGTAACTTGAGCCCTTGTTTGAGATGAACATTCTTCCAGGTGGTACAGCACTGGTCTGTCAGTTTGCTGTACTGAGATAATTTGGGGATGCTGTTATACTGAACGCTGTGCTACTGGTGTGTCAAATGCCACAATGGTTACCCATGGTGGACAGTGTTTGGTGTTGTTCCAGATTAAAACAGGCTTGGAAGCAGGAGTGGCATCCACTTCCTAAACAACATGCCTCTGGACACTCTATGAACTTAGAAAAACAATGATAGCTTGGGAACAGGGCTTAGGTCTTTTGTTCATAGGTTGCTGTGAGTTGTATTCGACTTGAAGGTACTTAACAACAACAATAATATAAAACTGCCATGACACTTAGATTGTCTTATTCCTTGTAAAAAAGTAAAAGAAATATCAAAAGTAACATATATCTTCAAAGAACAGTGTGGCAAAGACAACTAGAAGACCACAGACAATCAGAGATGAAAGTTTGTGAAACTTTGCATGTAAAGCTAAAGCAAACTAAATTATACTCAAACTCATTGTCATCGGGGTGGAATATACTTATAGTTGACTCTCTGAGTCTCTGAAACTATATATCACATGAGAAGACATTGCCCATCCTTCTCCCAAGGATCCACTGGTGTATGAAAATTTTAAAGTGCCCAGAGAAGATAGAAGTGACTTTACATTAATAAGAAAAATAAACTTCACACAATTTAAATGATAGGATAAATAATTATAAAATGATACACTTATTGTATTAATATGGCATCAACACGTTGAACTGAAATTTGTGCTGAGGAAGGAAGAGCCCTCATTTTCTCTGTTAATCAGGACAGTCCATTCCCAGTAACTGACCTTGCTGTCTCCTGGTGAGTTCACTGCTTTCTTTGAGAAATTTGGAGCTGCGATGGACAGTCACTTTTACGTTAGGAATCAGGGATCCTGAGAACTGAAAAACAGAATGACTAGAACATAGTCACTGTAGAGCAAGTCGAATCCTGCTAGAGACAAAGAAGGCAAACTCTGCAGTCATTCCCAACAGAAAGGAGCCAGGATGACAATAAGGACCATGTGAAATGAACAAGGAAAAAGAACACAAAGAAATTGCTAAGTATATAAAAAAGGGGACTTGACCTTAAACCAAGCTTTTCACCACAGGAAAAGAAAGATGTCTCGCGTAGATAGCAAGTAATATTATCATTCAATTTTATCATAAAAATTACATCATTTTTCTAGTATTTGTATCACAGGTCCCCAGTCTTTGTAAATAGCATTTGCTATCTGTGCTGGAGAGGAAACCAAGCTCCTACTTGGAGGCAAGTATCGACTCAGTGATTGGAGTAATTGCAGGTGTTTATCAGATACTGAGAGATTGACTCTGGATAGAGCAGGGTTCAGAACTGTTGTACTTGGGGTTGCTATACGTTGCAGGCAACTTCATGGCACATAACAAGACCACCAACAAAGAAATTAAAACCTATGTATAATAACAGAAGCTATAAATGGATTACACAAAGAAAAGATTCTCAGTAAGCACAGATTTGTGTCACTGAATCCTTATCCTCTACCCCATTCCCACTTGATGGACAAACCTCAGCAATTTCTGGGGGAGGAAGGCCATTCTGCGCCCACCCTTCTTACCAGGCTCACCTCGGTGGCTGTTTGGACAGCAAGGTTGGCCAGCCTCTCTGAGTCATCAATCAGGCTTTCAATGTTGGAATGGACCTGGACTGCACTAGTAGCATTCAAGGACACATATTTGGCATTTCTGAGGCCACTGTTAAATCAGCATAGTTAGAGAAGATATGTTAGGCCACATTATGTTTACACTCTAAAATAACAAATATCCCTTGTTCTTGAAAGTTTCCTAACTCTCCCCTGAAAAGGATCAAGAGTACTGACAACAGGATTCCTTCTAGCCTTGAACAATCTTCAAGAAGCAGTAACCACATTGTCGTTATAACACTCACAGTCGCTGTTTAATCAATACCAAAAGCAAATTAATTTGTTACTGTTTGCCATCTTTTCATTTACTCATCATTTCCCCTCTGCCTTCCCATCCCAGTCTCTGTTGGAAGCCCTGCATGTATCTGAGTTGGAAATCAACTTTGTGTGGATTATCATCTCCCCTGCTATGAATTTGCTAATTTATTAAAAAAACCAACAAAACTTATATGCTTATGTGCTTTCTTAAGCATATATAAAGATGTCTAATCTTATCATTAAAATAACACACACCAATTTGATGAAATTCACTAGAAATTTTGGAGGCTGATGAGATAATATATCAGTGAGATGAACTTCATTCTTAGAAGAGGGCAAATCGCTTATGCACTTGCCAGCTAGTAATGGTGCAATTTCATCACGCTCTCTCTCTCTTGAAAATGAAATCTGACAATTGACACATCTCTGTCTGAGTAACTTACTTCATTTTCTTTCTGAGGTTATAAAATTGGGTGATTCTCAACGCTGTCATAAGCAGTTAGTGTCTGTTTTTCTGTGATGGGCAAAACTCAGAGATTTATAATAAGAGTCAGCATTGCTGTTTAATTTTGCTTATTATTTCAAATTGTTCTTACAATAAGTAGTAAAGATTTTATTTTGGCTGTGTAGGCTAATTAGAATATATTTTTCTCTTTTGGGAAACGAGAGGAAATGAAAAAAAAAAGAAGTTAACAGAATCAACTCAATTTCTGTGGCATATGTAAATACTACTTCTAGGAAACAAACAAACAAACAAACAAAAAAACAAAACCCTAAAACCAAACCCACTGCCAGTAGACCTTAGTATTTAATAAATAATTCACACAATATTTTACATAATTAAAATTATGTAATAATGATGTGTCAGTTGTTGTTGCTGTATATTGTCAAGTCAGAATCGACCCATAGCTGCCCCTCCAGTGGATTTTCAGAGGCAGGCAGTTAACCACATGGAAGGAGATTGCTCATCCTTCTCCCACAGAGTGACTGATGAATTTGAACTGCATGTCTTTGGCACTGCAGTGTAGCTTCTTACCACTAAACCACCAGAGCTCCCTTATTTCTTTTTCCACAAAACACACTCATACATTGTAAAAACCATGTCCCCACGTGTTCATTTTTTCTATCTAAAATTTAAAATAAGTTCCAAAAATATAAATTTACCAGTTAGAGCACAATATTCTGTAAATTACTGATAAAGCCTAGAATACTAGCTCCCACGTTTCAGCACATAAGAACTATCTGGAGATGTTTTTAAGATCCCACAGTCCAGCCCTCATTCCTGACAAATTAAATTCCAGTCTTTGAGTTTGTCAGATTTGTGTAGGAGATGGGGTGAAGGAGTGAGGGTGGGGTGGAGAAGTGAAGGAGAAGGAAACAAAGACAATGGTGCTTTTTAAAAACAACAAGGTGCTTCTTATCTCAAGGCGTTTTGAAAAAAAAGATGACACTATTGGTTGCTGTAGCTGACCCTCTGGTGGGTTTCCAGAAACAGTTAATGACATGGGAGGAGATTGCCCATTCTTCTCCCAAAATTGAAGATACAGTTGTTAAATATTCAAAGATATAAACTAATTGTATCATGACCATGAAATAGCTGAAAATAATTGGGAGTAGGATTTTTCAGGGGTTAAGAAATCCTCATCTATTCATACTTCCTCTTGATAGGTGCTGTTGCATTGATTCCAGCTCATGGAAACCCATATGATAGGTAGAACTGGCTCATAGGGTTTTCTAGGCTGTTTTCCCATGGAACCACTGGACAGGTTTGAACTGACAACCTAGCAATCAGGGCTCCTTCTTTCATGCATAAAGCCAAGTGATCATAAATTCCAAAAAAGGGAGACAAAGAGTAATTAATACCCTTGTTCTGATAGTCATGCAACCCAACAAAGCACTGAACATGTCACAGTGCTCACGAAGACTCAAGGACTTGATATTTTAGTGTAATACTAATTTTCTTTCTATCCATTTCAGTTAGGATTTTTTTCATACATTTATTCTGGTTATGCATTAAACTATACTGTTGGATGTGACAGGAACTCCACGTTAACCTGTACAGTATGAGGGAAGCCCACATGTCTGTGCAAGGTAAGAAGAGTGACTCATCATCATAAATGAAGAAACCCATTTGATATCTCTGATCAATGGATCACAATCACTCAAATTCCTGAATGTGGCCTCACCTGTTTAGTACATCTGAGAGTCTTTGGAGGGCAGCAGCCTGATCCTCAGCTCTGTAGACAAGTGGAAGTACCCCTCTTCTGGACATCTGCATGACCAGATCATCTACGTGACTCCTGAGCTTAGCATTCCATAGCAGTAGCTGATCATGGTGATGATCTAACTGCTACAAAGAGAAAATGATATTGTAGACAGGAGTGGCTATTTAACAGTCTGTCTCAGTCAATGTAAACTCATAATAAACACAATAAATGCATATAGCCACACACTAGAACACAATAGGGCTTTCAGTTGAGCATTCAGAACTATATCACCCAGTCTTTCTTCTGGGGACCTCTATGCACATTTGAACCTTCAACCTTTTGGTTAGCATCTGAGGACATAGATGACTTGCACCACAGTGGGTTTCCTGAGATGTGCTTTATATGTGAACTGTATGAGTTGTTTCAACATCATATTGAAGATGGGCTGGGGTTGGGGGGTAACTTACAGTCAGAGTATTTTGGGTAGTATTTGCTTGAATGGTGGCAGCAGCTAACAATCTTCTTCCCTTGGCAATTAACTTTGAGGTCAGATTTTGTTCTTCTTCAACATGCAGTTTTTTATCCTGCAACAAAAATCAACCATTAAAGATGTTTAGTAAAAGCAAGTCCGTTTCCTATACCTGATGCCTAGTGCTGCATGCGGCATCATCTGTAGCCTGCAGACTCCTTATGAAGGCACTGACAATCATTCCATTTACACTGAGATTTTGGCCAACAGCTCTAATGAAAAAGGTGAGAGTGGCTTTATACTCACGTTGAATTCTTGTAAGGTGGCATTGATAATGTGCAGCAGCTTGCTGCTTTCCTGGGTCTTTGTATCTGCATCATTTACTAGGTCTTTTGCTCCTTGGAGTTCACTCTTGTGTTTTGAAAGGAGGTTGTTGGCTGCTTCTATTAATGCCCTCAGCTCTTCCTGTGGCTTCTGGTAATTCTTTTGAATTTGTGATAGCAAATCTTCAGTAGCTCTGATACACATAAATTGATCATATAGTAAGCAAATTGACTATAAAGTTCATATCTCAGCAATGATATGAAAGGAGCATTTACATATTTATTTCTAGTTTATTTCTTTTATAAATTCTAATAATTCGTTGTTGTTGTTGTTGTTATGTGCCGTCGAGTCATTTGCGACTCATAGCGACCCTATGTACAACAGCCCTAAACCGTGCTCTATCCTGTGCCAATCTCATTGCCTCTGACACACCCATCCCAATTACCCCAGTCACTGAATCAATCCACCTCATAGAGGGTCTTCCCCTCCTGCGCTGTCCCTCTACTCTACCCAGCATGATGTCCCTCTCTAAAGACCTGTCTCTCCTTACAACATGTCCAAAGTATGTCAGACGAAGCCCCAGAATCCCTGCCTCCAGGGAGCAGCCTGGTTTAACCCTCTCTGGGATGAATCTGTTTGTTTTCTTAGCCTCTTTAAAAACAAAACAATTTGGCTGAGACAGCTTTAGGTATGCGTATTTATAGTCTCAACAATTTATCTTTACTTAAAAAGTTGCCAACACATTTTCTTAAACTCATTGTCATCAAGTGGAAATCGACACATAACTGATCCTCCAGTGGGTTTTCAGGGGCTGTAAATCACAAGACAGGTGATCGTCCAACTTTCTCTCATGGAGTGGCTCATGCATTTGAACCACATGAAATATGTCACCTTTGCGTTAACAGCACAACTCTTTATGGACTATGACACCAAAATATATTTTAGTAATAGAATTTTAAAATATGATCTAAGTTAAATTTAGAAAAATGGAACTACAGTCTATACTAATGATGTAAGCTATAATATTTCATTATAATATAGCAAGCAATGAAAATAAGTAATTTCAGGTGATTTGTTACAAATATACCTATTGTTGTTGTTATGTGTCATCGAGTCGCTTGCGACTCAGAGCGACCCTATGTACAAGAGCCCTAAATGCCGTTCTATCCTGTACCAACCTAGCCGTCTCAAACACATTCATTTCCACCACTCCACTCACAGAATCGATCCATCTCATCGAGGGTCTTCCTCTCCTGCACCGTCCCTCCACCCTCCCAAACATGATATCCCTCTTCAAGGACCAGTCCCTCCTTGCAACATGCCCAAAGTATGTCAGACGAAACTTAAGAATCCTTGACTCCAAGGAGCATTCCGGCTTCACCCTCTCCAGGACAAATCTGTTTGTTCTCCTAGCAGTCCATGGTATATTCAACTCTCTTCTCCAGCACCACAGCTCAAAGGCATCAATTCTCCTTCTATCATCCTTATTCACTGTCCAACTCTCTGATGCATAGCACATAATTGCAAAGACTATAGCCTGGATCAGGCGCACCTTAGTCTCCAGCCTGATGTCATTGCTCTTCAGTACTCTCGAGAGGTTCCACACAGCTGATTTTCCCAATGCAATTCGTCTCTTGATTTCCTAGCTGCTGCTACCAAGAGTGTTGACTGTGGCACCAAGCAAAATAAATGGTTAACTATTTTAATCTCTTCATCCATACTGATGCTGCCAGTTGATCCAGTGGTGCAAATCTTTGTTTACTTGATATTGAGCTTTGATCCATATTGAAGACTGCACATATACATATATTTTCTATATATATTATAAAATAATATATAATATTATAAATTATGTGATTCTAGTATATATACACATATATGATTCAAAGCATTTTCTGTACCTAGTTAATAGATTTTGTAAAAATATTTAAGTTCAAATGGCCAGAAAGATATAATTTGTGCCACTGATAAATGTAAATTTTAGAAAATATTTTCGGTGGGCAGCACAGTGAGGGACACAGCCACTCTGATGTGCTGAGGACAGACAACCTGGCAGCTTACCATCTGTGAACAGATGACCAGACCTGCTGGACTGCCAGGCCCACACCCCAGGCAGCACCCCAACCCCATGTGCCTGTCGGTGCACAGGCCAGACATCTACAACCTGACCAAAGTACTTACGCTTGAGCACCCAGAAGCCAGCCCCACCAGCACAAGCCATACAGCTGCAACCTGAGTGAGGTCGCTGTAAGTCCCCACAAGGGCAGGTAGCCCCAGTAGACACGAGAGGGCCAACTGCAAACTGAGTGAGGCCCTTGTGCACTCCCATCTGGAAACTAACTCCAACAGGCTCCAGCCAGACATCTGCAACCTGAGCGAGGTCTCACACATCCCCACACGGGCAGGTAGCCTCACCGGGCGTGATGAAGACATCTGAAAACTGAATGGCAATGGTGGAGAGTGCAGCGTGAAGAGCTAGAGGAACAGCAAGCTGCATGAAGATGGGCCACTAGAGAGACCTTCACACTGCACAGAGGCCGACCCACACAACACAATGTAGACATTAGGAATTTGAATCAGAACTTGTGTTGGAACAATTAGTTTTGGAGCTACAGGAACATAGAGCTGTGCTGTGGGCCATGCTGCACCGTGGACCTGGACAAAGCTGGAAGCTGCTATCTGAGCTGCTATAGGATCCATCCCCAGGAGAAAGAAGGTTAGCAGAAAATCAACTGAGTTCTCTTAAGCCTCACTAAGAGCTAATGGGTCTGTTGGAATTTGACTGAACTTTCTTGTGCTCCGGCCAACTGCCCACAACTGAGCAGGCCAGTAGGAATTTCGCTGGGTTTTCTTGGGCACCATCAATTGCTAGGGAGAGCATCAAAGAGTGAGCCCACTAGTGGGAATTCGGCTGAGTTCGCTTGGGCCACACCGACTGCCCAGGAAGAGGTAGTCAGGTGGGAATTTGAGTTTTCTTGGGTATGGTTGACTGCCTGGGAGAGTGCCCAAGAGTGAACCAGCTGGAGGAAATTTGACTGAACTTTCATGGACACCGTAGACCAGCCAGAGGTGAGTGGACCTGTGGGAATTTGAATGAGTTTTCTCAGATGCCTCAGAACCCAGGTTCCTGCTGGGGGCACTTGGTGCGAGGGCACTTGGGTAAGGGCCACTGGGCAGGGACCACTGAATGAGAGCAACTGGGTGGGAGATGGATAGCTGGAATTTGAGTAGAGACCCCACTTGTGAACACACCCAGACAGCTGAGGTCTGACTGAAGTCTGGTAAGTGGTTGACCCCCACTCCGTCCCTCCCCTTCCCTCTCCGCACCCCCATTCGGCTCCACATCTGTGCATACAAGTCCAGTCAATCAACATGTCTTTAATCTGGAGCACCTTGATCTGACTTACCTAAAAGAGGCTGTTCACACAGGCTCTCAACTGAACTTTTCCTTGAGTCAGAAGTTCAGAGAAAAACACAAATGGGGTAGCTGCCCACCTCATTCCGAGAGCATTTTCTTAAGATCAAGAACATACCCATGTCTAGAAGAAAGCAAACTACCCCACATACTGTACAATAGCAATGCAAGATGTCACCCCCAAAGGTGACACAGTATCAGTAGATTTCCTGAAGCCAGAAAGTATGATTAAATTCTGACACAGAATTTAAAAGAACAATAATGGAATATTTTGAATGGATGAAAGACAAACTTGAAGAATTACAGGATACTGCAAGCAAAAACCAGGTTGTTGTTGTTGTTGTTATGTGCCGTCGAGTCATTTGCAACTCATAGCGACCCTATGTACAACAGCCCTAAACCGTGCTCTAATCTGTGCCAATCTCATTGTCTCTGACACACCCATCCCGAGTGCCCCAGTCACTGAATCAATCCACCTCATAGAGGGTCTTCCCCTCCTGTGCTGTCCCTCTACTCTACCCAGCATGATGTCCCTCTCTAAAGACCAATCTCTCCTTACAACATGTCCAAAGTATGTCAGACGAAGCCTTAGAATCCTTACCTCCAAGGAGCAGCCTGA